GTGTACAAGTTATTGCTGTGATAATTTAGTCAAACTAGTTAATTTTAGCTACATCAGCCTCTCATTTATAGAATGTTTACTTTGTCTGGTTTTGTTGCAGTCTGCCCTATGTGTGTTCTTACCAAAAAATTTTTTTTTTAATTCTATTCATTAAAAGAGTTTTGTGTAGTCTTTCATGAACAAAGAAATAAAAGGCGAGCAATAAAGGAAATTTCAACATGTCTGAGACGGGATATTTCAAAACACTATGAGAATTACACTTTCTCCTGATGGATATTCAAAGATGGACGATTATATCACTATTGTTGTTACTATTACTATTTAATTATTCTATTGATCATCCAATTACAATTTTTTAATCATGTGACTTTAACAAGCTGGTTTGTTATTTTGCAGTAGATATTGGCCAAGTGCAAGTTACTAATATCACGGAATTGAATAATATTATTTCGAAACTGTGGATAATAGACTCTGCATGCATTATTCTTTAGTTCTCAATATTGGGCTAATACTCAATGCCAAAATCATGTATTTCTACACAGTTGCATCTGGATTTTTACGAAAATAAACACGGATATTCACTGTTTGCTTCAGTGACTAATTGGTCAGCGAACATGTCTTAAAAAGCTTGTCAATTAAAACTAGCTTGACCTCAATTGGTGGAAGAGCGGGATAAAAAATTGTCGATGTTAAAAATATTTAATAGAACAATAACTAAATTATTGCTGTTTTTTGAAAACGATCATGAAAACGATTATAAAAACGTGACTAAAATCTACCAATAGAATTTAACGAGAAGAGTGTTATACAATAAATAGTAAATTCTATTGGTAGATTTTAGTCACGTTTTTATAATCGTTTTCATGATCGTTTTCAAAAAATTTTTTATTTTGTGTGCCTGACAAGCATAATGCTTTTGTAAATGTGGATTCTCTACTTGTTCTGATTCGTGATGACATAAAAGTTGATGTAATAACATTATTATTATGCTTACTAAATATATTAATATCGCTTTTTTAATTGTACTACAATGAAGATTTCTCGTCGCGAGCTTAAATTCAATTTATCTAGAACGTATTATATTAATATATTTACATTGCACACATTTCAAATCTAATCGTCGCCATTTATACAAGCTATGGAACTTGTCAAAAAAATCTCCACACCCATCACTAAATAGGTCAAAGTCTTGATAATCCGGTAACGTCAATGAGGACGAACCGATCGCCGGAGATATCTTTGGATCCTCTCCCCACCAGTCAAATAAGCGGCTCTCGACTTTATACTGTCCACATGCATGCAAGTTTCCAAATTCATCTTCGTCCGGGTCTCCCGCTTTGAGTTCCCCAGTATTAGTCCAAGGAAAATCTGTTCTTGGCAGACTTGGCACAAAATTATATCCATTGTAATCAGTATGATTACTTTCATTAAAAGTACCAGAAATATCGCGGTAAGGAATTGCCGGACTAGATATATTCCCGTTTTCTGCACAGTTTGCAGCTTGACTTTCGCAATTGCCAATTATACTTGAGGATAAAAAGCCGCCGCTTCTGTAGTCCGGGTAACCGCCGATTTGAGCACAATCGTCTTTACGTTCATTATTAATGTGCTCGTTTTTATTTTTCGCATTATTCTTGTTATCTTCATAACGGGGTTTTCTTTTTTGGTTAACCCTGTCAAAAAAGCGACTGAATAATATACTCTTATTCGTAACTTCCCCTTGTCCAATGAACGTGATTTGAACTTCTTCCACTGGCTATGTAAATCCACGTCGGCACCTGATGACTCGAGTTTGACGGTGGGCAAGACGGAGAGCAAGACGGAGAGCAAGACGGAGAGCAAGACCGAGAGCAAGACCGAGAGCAAGACGGAGAGAGCAAGACCGAGAGCAAGACCGAAAGCAAGACCGAAAGCAAGACGGACCGAGAACAAGACGGAAAGCAAGACCGAGAGCAAGACGGAAAGCAAGACGGAAAGCAAGACCGAGAGCAAGACGACCGAGAGCAAGACGGAAAGCAAGACCGAGAGCAAGATGGAGAGCAAAGACGGAGAGAGAGCATCGGAATTTGAATGTGCAGGGTCCTCTTGTTTGTTAGTATTGGTGACCAAAACTTGGTCATAACCCCCGATCCAGGTGCTCGCGGACGCGTAGGTGTCGAATTTATGGTGGCTTCATTATTCGTTTGGTTTCTGAGTCTAATTTTCGTGAAGGTTTCGCGCGCTTGAACTTTCTTTTCCGGGATTGCTTGGCTGAGGATATCCTGCCTTCAGCAGACGTTTCGTTAGAGGCACAAAGGCGTCTGTAGTAGTCCTCGCATGGTCGGCGTTAGTGTCTGCAAATTGTCTGTTAAGAGCGAAATCTCGCTGTTCCTTAATCCATTTTTCTGCAAGCGGTCTTCTTGTCGTTGTCTTTGTTCGAGAGATTGTTTTTGGAGGATGTTTCATGTAATCAACGGTCTTGTATTTTTTAGTTATATGTGTACGCGACTAGTTAGACAAAGGAGAGTGAGGAGAGCGAGGAGAGTGAGAAAAGAATAATCTACCGGTTTGACTGCGTTGTGAATTTAAAAGGGGGATCGGGCATGAATTTATGTGAAATGACGCAACGTTGATGCAATTAAGCATAATTTAAATATTAAGTATATTAATATTCACGTTACCACCACCTGTTAATCACTTAATCAATCTTTATAACATGAACAGTTATCAGTAAAGTTTGATCAAGCAACGTTTTCCACGATAGACAGACCGTTGAAATGTCGGTTGGATTTGTTAAAATATACACGCATGCGATTGACGGATGAACAGATTACGTAAATACACGGTACAAATCCGATAAGATATTTGCCTTGTAGACCTCTTTATTAACGTAAACTCTCATGAATAAGAGTCCCCTTCATCGTAAGAGCCCCTTCATCATATAAGGGGCTCTTATTCATGAGATGTTTGATTGTGGCTTAAAAACAATGCAAAATCACGTAGCAATTGTCCGCGTTATATCTTTATTTATTACATTACAGATCTTATCACATGATCGCCGCTTTAATACAGGGGCTCTGAGTAATAAGATACGTTGCATTTGTATTAATATCTAATATCGATAAAAAAATTAATTGGAAATTGTAATAGGTATAAAATATGATAAGAAATAATTTGTAATAATCCTCCTACTACGAGAGTATGTGCTTACAATGATGATCATATTCTTTTGCGAATCACTGTTGACTTCACGTGTTGGCGTTTCATTCTTACCATCAATCTCAATTTGATGTTCTATATACGAGTTTTCTCCAACTGTTTTGAATTGTGTTAATATTAACGTTATCTTTTATAATTATTTGAGAGTATTTACAATGAGCAACAGCAGCAACAGCAGCAACAGCAACAACTACAACCAAGCCCGAATGCCTCAACTTCCCCAAACTCATCAATAATATATCAAGCACAATCGTCCAGTGCTAACTTCAATACTCACACAAATAATCAAGAGCTGATCGAATACGCAACATCACTTGAGAATATGAACCGACAAGACTTCGATGTGCTTTGTTTCTTTGACCTGCAATTTTACGCCGTTTTCGAGTGATCCGCTTTTCTGCTCTCCCGCTGATACCGAAAAATCTCTACCTCGTCCTGACCATCCATTCGATGCACGCGTTTGATTTGATCCACTTACTGATTATTATTATCATATGTCTTCCAAATCCACCGTTATGACGTCCCCCTTCTCACGTCTATGTAAAAACCCTCTATGGCCATTACATCGTTTTAAAAGATAGGGTTCAGCAGCCTCTCGAGCTCTTTTCGTTGTCTTGCAAGCTTGCTTTTCGTTCACTTTTTCGACATCCTTTGGTAAGATACTCTCTGGAAGGGAGAAATCGCATGTAGGAATTAAAGTTTATAGCCGGGATAGTGATAGTTGTATTCTGTGTGATGTTGATAAGGACAACGATGAGAATGTTGACATTGATATCGATGATGCCGAGTTGTTGATGACCATGACGACGGAGGTGGTGATAGAATTGGAAGGAGGCGTAGTGGAGTTAGATGGTGGTATTAGTAATGTTGATAGTCGGTGTCGACGTTAGGGTTGATGCTGTGTTTGCAGAAGAGACAGATGAGATGGCTTAATTATAAAAGTTGATGCAATGAGAAATATTATAGTTAATACATTGGGAAGATTAATTGGGTTGGGAATTAATTACGATGATGGATTATAATGTGAATAATTTGGTTACAAGTATGTGCATAATAGCAGTTATTAATGTAGGATAATAGTACTTATGAGGAAATAGATCCTTGAAGCTATACCTTTTCGTTGCGAGCGACATGATCATATAAATGATATTCATGACGTAATAACCGCGTCCTCCCTCACTCCATTACCAAACACAATACTCACTATTCATAGCTGCTAGAGAAGCCGACGCAGCTTCAATAAGAGTCAAGATTTTCCTCGCGGAGGAGCTTATCCATTAAGGTGCTTTCTATCTCCTCAGGGATGTCTGCACAGGCAGTGTTGATAAGCCACTGGTCAACGCATTTTAAGGATAATGATGCTCATGTCTGCGTTTTTCCAATCCACAACCGTATCCATTTCTCATATTTAAATCGAATTCCCAAACATCTTCTTCGGCTTATCAATATTATTACAAGGTGTGCGTCTGCGCGTTCTCCTGCACTGTCGCCTACTAAGGTTTTCCACCATTCACTATCCGATGTCTCTAACGGTCAACGGCAACACAACTAGTTGGCAATGATGTTTTCGCTCTCGTTAATTGATTGGATTTGAAACTATTGATGTCGGGGAGAGCGACGTTGGGCTTACCAAGTCCATGTGGCGGATGGTCAACAGAGTATGTAGTGACCATACATACAGTTGGTTCTGTCTACAATACAGACTCTTTCATCCTTTGGCTGCCTGATCGCTGACAAGACTGATGACTAGACAACGCCGGTTCGCTTTTCGATTACGGAATTCAGCGGTGACCCTAGATTTGTGTTTGGATAGCGTTAGTGATATGAATTCTCAGAAATCATTTTTTTTCAGCCGAAGTAACCAGTTATAGCAGGGGCCAAGTAATTAAAAGGGAATGCAGGAATAAAAGAATATATTATAGCATTCAAGTATAAGTAAGACTACATACGGCCTTCCTTTCTTCCTCTATTTACACTCTCCAGAATATTCTTCATAGTATATATTTATGCTTTCTCTATACCTTATTAGTCAAGGATTTTGCCACCCATCCCAGGATATACTTATGTGGAATTCAATTGTAAGTGGTCGTTCTCAGAGCCTACGGAAGGAGCTGGTCGAAAACTGTGCAATAGATTTTTGTGTTGAAAAGGAATAGCCAAGATGCGTGTGAATATGATACAAACTGTATTAATGATACAACTGTATAAATGATACAACTGTATAAATGAAATACATACATAATAGATGAACTATTCAATTGATTTGTTCTATCTTCAATATCTTCAAGAAACGGGTTGCCATTATTAAACACCCCATAACTCTTACAGTACGCCAATACCATTTCTATTCCAGTGTAAAGATAAAGACAACTCCGATGCTTTACTACATGTTATATATCATCATCATATTATATTCTTCATTTCTTCGGAGTTTACAATTTGTCACCCGATTATCGGAACATCTTCAGCCACTTGATGTTGATTGAACATTGCATTGTGTAATCACACCTTACCGAAATGAAATACAAGGTTCAAGGTACCCGAATGATACAACAGTACATACTATACAACTGATATGATATTTGTCAGATATACAGCCTTTGCTAGACATGGTAAATTTCTCACCATTCAACATGAAGTACGGCAATGGGTCCCAGACCATGGAGTACAAAGCACAAGATAATCAGGACGTAAAAGACTGCACGTCTCAAATATAGCAGCATTTTATTGTCAATAACACATGCAATTACTAGTCTCTAATGCACTTAAGCCACAACAAACAAGTTTTAATTGTCTTGTGACATGCAACTGTCTTGTAACCAACATCGATAACATCATTCAGTACGTTTTGGATGTACACTTAAGAGAAATACATTTCAACACAGCACATGTAAAAGTTTTCTATGACGTTTTGTCCTATCCACCAAGTCTGTTAGAACACACAAACTCTGCAGTCAGTGCAACAGTCAATATGCAGAACGTCTCGGTCTGATTGTTTTCATCTGATTGTTTGTTAGTAGCCACAACGACAATCAATCAGAAATAATATTCCATTGTCAATGGACATGCATGCAACTACCAATCTCTCACGCGCTCAATAAGGAAATCAACTTAGACAGGTTAAGCTACAATGTTGGGGCTGTCGATTCTCTCGTTATAGCTGAATGGCGCCGATGCTCCAGCATTTATTGGCTGACGTATGAACTTAGCCTTTATAAATTAATGGGAGGACTACTTTGTTTCTTTGAGAAAATGGAGTTTACTTCATTCGGGTACAATGCGATTATCACCATCAGTCGGGAAGACTGCTCAAATTCACAACGACCAAGAACCGCAGCTTCTACATACCGATTACCAAAAACACTTAAATATGCCACACAGTATGCAAACAACTAACTACCTTCCCCCACACCACAACACTCGGAATTCTTCCATCCTCGTATTTTCTCAACCAATAACCAAAGACTTGTACAATGGAATTCTTCTCGCAGTCGGCAAGACTTAATATTGGTATACAGTACCAAAAGAGGGGATCCTACGACGCCGCTATGAGAATATTCCATCTTGCTGCCTATGACAACTATCCACCAGCACAACATCACCTAGGCGATACGTACCGGTTTGGCATTGGCGTACAACAGGATAATCAAAGAGCGTTCATGTTTTATCGTAGGGCTGCCTGTAACGGTTTTTTAAAATCGCTGTACAAAGTCGCCTGGTGTTATCAATTTGGTGTTGGCGTGAGTAAGAATCTAGAGACAGCGTTCCAATATTACAAAATGGCAGCTGATCAAGAATACCCGGTCGCTCAATTTGCCCTCGGATGTTGTTACGAAGATGGCATTGGCATAGAAAAGGATGACGAGAAAGCAACTGAATATTACGGAAGAGCCAATCGACACGGAATATCCATTGCACTATACGATCTGGCGCGACGTTATGAGGACGGGGATGGTGTAGGACAGTGTTACCAACATGCTGTATTGACATATAAAAAGGCAGCTCACTTGAGCCATCCATATGCACAATATAAACTCGCATTATTCTATTTCTACGGTACGGTGGTTGAGAAAGATGATGCGAGAGCATTTCAATTATGTCGGGCAGCGGTGGCAAAAGGGGTGGCGGATGCGCGATGCGCCCTTGCCATGTTTTACGAACATGGCATAGGGACAGAAATAAACCAGTCCATGGCATTCCGTATATACCGTCAATCAGCAGAAGAGGGGGATTCGTATGCATATTGTTATCTTGGGGATTGTTATAGAAATGGTGTAGGGGTTGAGAAAGACGATAAGCAGGCCTTTTTATGGTATAAAAGGGCTGCTGAACTCGGAAATTCAGAAGGGCAATATAGTCTTGCCAACTGCTATAAAGACAGAGTTGGGGTGGGGCCAGACCCGAGAAGAATGATCGAATTGTTGCAAGCAGCCGCTTCACAAGGCCATGTGTTGGCCAGAGAATGTTTGGGTTGGGATTAAAATGCTAGATTGTCAAAAATTGAAATTCTTAATTAATAAATCGTAACGCTGATCAATGACATTTAATATTTTACATAAACGTATCTACTAATGTCCCTGAGATACTTGCCACAACAGATGACAAGCATATAATTGTCTTTTAACGAACACATAAACACACGTTTCTTTGCTCTGTGCACTTTAAATATTCCCGTCTCTTGTTTGACTTATCCATGCTTTGCTTGCGTAGCTGACATTCTTTCGCTGACGATGCATATGAATTAACCCAATGGTAAGAATGTGCGTCAACTGTGATGGATGAGTGTTTATCGGTAACTGGTGAATATCGTCGATAATTAGGGACACTTTGTAACAATCACCCGGTCATTTTATGTTCTTGTTATCTCTCTCCTTTAGACGGAGCATTGGCGACAGTCAAATAGTTTTCTTCATTTAACAAATTGTCAATTCTTTAGTAGGCAATTGCCGGTTGCAAGGTCTTATGTTGGTGTGCTGTCGATGGGTAATGGAGATAGATAGATTAAAGCCTTCGCACAATTTCATCATGTTAACTATGTTCACAGACTTCTATATTCTAATGTTGGGAAGTACGATTTAGCTTTATGGATTGGTGGAAGAGGTCTCTTCGATTGACTGCTTAGAGGTTGTTTGCGAAATAGGAGAGACTACTTTTGCGATGCTTTCTTTATTTACTGGAGTAAGTATTATAAGATTGTAGTCGTTGGAATATCATGTTAAAAAGAGCATGGATCTTCTTCTATTAGTGTTAATATACAGATGCTGCGAATACTTTCAGGCTACTGAACAGATATTGCATGAACACTAGTTGACGCAAACTTTGCAGACGGTGCAGCGATGTGTCATAAGACGCAATCACTTGTAGTGATTTGAAAGAAAAGAAAAAATATTGACTCTGCGGGGTGGTGTGATGCCAGTCATTAAATGATTAGAACTTTGATGGGATAGCCAAAGAACGGTGTGTTATAAAGAAGCAAGCTTTTATCGAATATATAGAATTTGGTGGTTAAGTTTTTAGAAACCAGGAAACAATTCAAGGAAGAAAATTTCGTATGTATAATTTGATAGCAGTTAGTACGATACTGCGTTAGATCTGGAAAGATAAACTGGAATCTAACAGGGGAGGGATGGGGGCTAAACGAGAGTCCAGAAGGAGATATGGAAAAAAGTTTCTCTAATATAAAGATTTGATGGGTTTGCCGGCCGGTGAAGAGAATCGCTTTGCATTAGAATAGATTAACGTAACTAGCCTTCCATGTTAAATAAGATTGGAGTAGCTGTTCAATAAGAACTTACGGCGCAAAATTTGCTCTTTGATTCGGTGATAATAATGTCTTGTGTTTACTCTTGTGGTTAAATGTGCTGAAAATGAAATCGTGTTAATGTTTGCCACCATTCGCCCACTACCCATTGCGCGATACACTACCATTGCAACGTTAAATGCACTTCTAACCAAGAGTCAAGTTGTGTAATCGTACAACGGGCTTGCTAAATACTAAGCTCATACTGTACGATCGGTACAAGCATCTAAATTGTGTTTTCCACAAACATCGAACAAATAGATTATAAATAATTGATAAGAGTGCTAAATAAGCGCACAGCATTATCTCTGTTAAAAACACGTGTTTGTCATGTCAACAGATCGTCCCTGATCAATTCACACGTGTTGCTATTTTAGGCCGAAAAAAAAAAAAAAAGCCCAAAAAAGAAACTCTACTCTGATCAGCATGACAACACCATACCATATGGAAAGGAAAAACAAACCTGTCGTTGTTTGCAAGTCGGGGTAAAACAGGCGGATTAAACCGATTTGGTTAGTAGTCTCAGATCCACCTCACCCAACTCTCGCATAATGTCAACCCAGTCTTCTACATTCCAGATTGGATTCTTTCCTCGAATGATGCTTCAAACTGAGCATTGCACTCTCAATACTTCCTCATCAATCTGCGATGAGTGCAATCATTAGTCGAATTCTTTTCTCATTTGGCAAAGCCGGGAGTAATAGTATGGAAGCCAGTCAACCGGAAACGTTTGATAAACAGTGTGTCGAAAACCGCAAGACGATGGTATGAGTTGCAGAAACGAAGAAAGAACGATTTTTAAGATTTTACATTCATTAGTGATCATTATATGTAGGGAATTATGATAAAGGAAGATACAGTATACAGAAACTCGATAATGCAAGGCTTTCATACCGAAGGTTCAACGATATTGATATTAATGAAACTCGTATTTGTATAAATGTATGCCGATAGGGGTCAGCCTCTTAATGCTGGTGATTATTCAGGAATACGCTCGAAAAAGCTTGCATATTATCTTCATGTTAATTACCTTTGTTTTCTATAGATGGTATCACGCTCAAACAGTGTTATTCAATGATGCTGAAAATGCAGTCATGGTCAGCGCCACATATTGTTGATCCATATAATATTGTGTCTGTAAATCTTCAAAGGAGGTTACTTCTGCAAATTGACAAGTGAATACCAATGTGAGTAAAGAGCGAATTTTTTAATTTGTTGTATTATTAAACACTGCCAAACATCTTCTTTTTGTTTAATATGTTTCCATACTGCTTGATTGATTCTCATAGTTGACGAGTCGGAGCACAAAGATTTAATCGTCCGTCGAAACAACTTCAGCGCGAGAATGTGAGGCGTTCTTAAAAACTCGGGAATGCTATTCTTGTTCACCCTTGCACAGAGGATTTCCCTTGGATCCGTGAACGTTTAATCGCGGTTATACCTCCGTTCTATAAACTCCTTTGATCCATGAGCATGTAACAGTTTCAGCGCAACTCTAAGAAGCCTTGTCCTGATAGTTGGGTTCTTGCTGATGATTTGGGCGTTCTCTTGTTATAACTGATTCCCTTGCTATTTCGAAATAAATACTGTAACGCCGCCCGCTCAGTTTATCGACTACGCTTTCAATACGGGATGTTGTGTATATGAAATTCGATCAATGGACGTTATGCTCATTATTTATTATTTAGTGATCGAGACTTTATTTCAGATTATTCCGATTATTCAGTACATTCAGAACATCAACAAAACAAGACATCCGAACATTGAAGCATTGAAAATTCTACCCTTATATACAATAATTATTAATAACCAGTTCACTGCAAACTACCCGGCTGATTCCCGACCCAATCCATCTCTACTCCATATGCCAACAAATATCAATGTTTTTTAGTATATTACCTTCTCCTTCAGCCACTCCAACAATTTTCGATCTTCTCTTGGAGCCGCCACCCACTCCACTCCCTTTTCCTGGAGCTGGTCTTGGATTTCATTGCTACCGCCCACTCCACTCCTTTTTCTTGGAGCTGGTCTGGGATTTCATGGCCAACCCCGCTGGCGACCTTTTTCTCGGAGATTTCATTGCCAATCACCCACTGCTTCTGGGGACTTCATAGTCCTCGAGTGTAAACACTCACTGTCTTTGACTCTAGTCATAAATGTCTATAAAAATGGAGATCCAAGACATTACTTGTATCAAAGATTAGCAGAATTGTCGGCGGCATAAACCGCGTGCTATCTTTCTTGCCTGGAAGACCTTCATAGCCCTCAAGTGTAAACACTCATTGTCGGGGGCATAATGCAGGGATGAGATATAATGTCACTTAATTTACTTGTGCCAATCTGACATTCAAGGCAACCGTTGTGCTGTATTGTCGGTGCCAACTGTTGTATCGTTGGCAAATGTTCTAACTGTTCGGAATGTGGCAATATCGTCGGCTCCGTAAGGTTTGAGAGGCGTTATCATTTTGTTGTGTAATTGGGACGTAAGGTTTGAGAGGCATCGTAATTGACCGTAAGGTTTGAGAAAGCGATTTTGGTAAATGTTTCGAGAGGTACTGTTTTAATTAGAGAAATGTTCTTTTCGTTGATTTCGTTACTAAAATAACCATCATTTTGTTGTGTAATTGGCCGTAAGATTTGAGTTGAAGGACTCTGTTAGAGAAGACTGGTTGAAATAATTTCCAGCCGTACGTTTCTTGGCCGGTTCCATCGTATTCGCTAAAACAGGTGTTATTCCATCGTTAAGATTCCGTCAAGTACGTTAGTCATCAGCCGCCCGCCCGTTACAGTCTTCAAGGAAAAAGATGCGAATATCGTTTTGTGTGTAATTGATCGCACGACATAATAATATTAATCCGTGACATACAAGAGTGACGAATCGCATCAACGTGAATAAATAGTTGAATAGTTTGATCGAACATTTAAAAATCTAAAACATCAGCCATATAAATATGCACAAAGAAATCATATGAACAACAACGGATATGGATAGGTGGGAACTAAACAGCTCACATATGAACGTGGGATTTTCGAGATTTCATTCCCAAGCCCCCATCCGTCTTAACCAAAGTCGATGATTTGATTATCCTCATTTGCAAGGGTATACATAATGTAATTGATCTGCTCTATAATATGTTAGGTAAGTCTGATCAATTATATTATGGTCTTGAAACCCTGATACAATTTTGGGAATTCTACCCACAGTTTCCATACGTCATTTTCAGCGTCGCTCGTTATTTCATTAACAAACAATAAACCTATAAATAGACAAGTGGCAGTGCTGATTCAACAATAAACTTTAATCAATACAAAGTGGCAGTGTTGATTATCTGTGGCGATGCTGATAAATTTGGTATAGCATGGTTTTGCATCACTCGCGGATTGATCGCGAAATGCATGAGACTGCATCGGTCAACACAACCTGCTGCGCTTCTCATTTGTTAAACATATATAAACCATTGGATGGGCTATTGCGTATCAAGCCTTTGACATATACAATCGGCGGTCAACAACTTTAAAACGTATATAGTAAAAATCTTGTCGAGAAACAAAACACATCGTATAACAACAATTGCCGCTGCCAACGGGAACTGCACGCGAACAAGTTGAAAACTAAATATGTAAGTCATAGCAACTTACATGCTTTATATTTGCTACAAGTTTGAATAAGATATTTACCATTCAATTATTACGTTTTTCTCAGAGATATTGGCAACTGCTATTGGGTACTCGTTGGCAACATCTTGACATATGGATAGACTTCATAAAGGTATATATGTGTCAACGAATTGAATATCTCTACGTTCTTTATTAGACAACTTTGGTTTGTTTTATAAACCGTCGTTCGCCATTCTTTTTCTTTCCTAGAAGCCCGATGCCTCCTCGTTCTTTCAAGAGTCGGGAGGAGTCAAACATTGCCCGTTTGTCCTTCGAAGACTTCAGAAAGCCGTCCATGTGGGCTTTTATTAATGTAAGTTATTGCTTGATTTCCGTGGTGGCAATTAGATTACGAAGTTTTTTAATTGTTCACTATTCTCACTATTATTGATTCTAATTGCAGAATACTGATAAAAGTTCACAAACCGTTTTGGCTGCCCGGTAATTATTGTCATATCTCTTATTTATTGTATTGTCCCATCAGCGCTGTTTTATCAAACTCATTAAGAATGCTACTTATCGATAGATCAAGAACAGCTTATCGGAATAACGGCTCAAAATAAGAAACTACTAGACGAGCCGCGGTGGCGATCAGTCTTCAAATCGTCACCGAACATTTATCCCAAGCGGCCGAGCTTGAAGAAACTGAGAAGCTCGAAGAGCGGTATGCGTTAAAGAAATTTGTGAAATTTTGGGATTAGGCTATGTTGTCAATTTTTGTACTCAGTTTCGCTCATATTGTAGTGGCAAGAAACTCGACCGCTCTCCAGAATGCCACGCTTACTTTAGAAGCCTCACGCGAAGAGATTTCGCGTCTTGTAAGTGCTTGTATGGAGAAAGATAAGCGGTATGTCATAACGTCAAGACTTTACTGGTTGTACACATGGTCATTATGTCAAGGTTCTTAATACTTGTATGCTTCCACTATTACTATGCAGGCTTCGAAATGATCGGGCAGAGGAATTACGACTGGGAAACCATCAAGCGGCAGAACTCGGTCTTCTCGCGCTCAGTAAAGAATGATGTCCACGTATCATTCTCACTTTCGGTGCTCACTATTTGTTCTGACTGTCGAGTTTTCGAGTCCTTTATTGGTCACACATGGGTTGGACCCTGATTTTTTGTGTTGTTCTGACTATCGATATATCTAGTAAAATCATGTCTTTCGCTCCGTGCGCATTGTAAATAAATAAATTTTTACATTTGACCATTTAAATGTCGATTATAGAAAAGTCTTAACGATAATGTTATTTACTATATCCAAGAACATCCCATACGTCCCTTCCTATAATATTCATATCCAACGTGAGTTCTCGCGGTCACAATCCGACACAAAATTTTATCAAATGCTGGCAACAATTATTAGAAAAGGCTATTTTTATAAACCTCCACATTCACTACACTCACGATCACACATGTGGTCCCTTATAAGGAAACTGCCAATCAAAGATTCATGAGACCGTCAAACCCTAATACTAATAAAAGTGTTAAAATAGACTACTCTAAACTGTTGGCCTGCTTTTATGAGCAAAAGTCTGCCATTAACTAAAAGACTTTGGGTATGTAACTCTATTCAATGTAACTATTTTCATAGTCAGATCTAGCCGCTCAATAAAGTCTTTTATTGATTACCCGTTTAACTAACTATACATTCATTTGCTTTTAAAGTATCTTTGCGAATCCCTAATTAAACCTTACGCGCCGCATGTCGAAAGAGCAATCCTGATATAGCTATTGGCAACCATTTGTATAAGTCATTGGATGTCTTCGCGATGTTACAAAGACAAGATGGTCGCTCTAAATAAACGCCATTGTTCGTTATACATAGCGCGGAAGTAAAACAAATGGAGCTTTCAAATGGCGTCGTCCTCCAGGTCTTTGATGAGGTAATCCCCAAACTCAAACTCAAAAATGATGGGTTAATATTCGCATCATCAGTGGCAGGGTATATTCTGGGTACTTTGAGAAATGTATGTAGGATCTATCTATTTATCGAATGATTTTTACTGATACCATGCTTTTAAAATGGAAGCCAACTCATGAAAATTCAAGACCTATTATTAGAAGTTCAATGCTCAAAAACAAAATGTCGATCAGACTAAGTGAAACCACGGTTTATCTCAAAGAAGTGGGTGCGAAGGAAATGAACACGCATTTTTCAGTGAAACGACTGTAACTGATGAAGAATGGGAGAAGACTTTTCGCATCTGAGTGGCCGAATTGTAGAGGTAGTCTATGACCCAACGACAGATTCGAGAGCACCATGGAAATTCTTGCGATTCCGTGACGATAAGGAGTATGTGAATCATCTGCCATGACGAAAATACAAGAATCTATAAGGGATGTTGTAACAAAAGAGCAATTGATTGCAAGATAAGAAGAAGCACATGGAAACGACGAGAAGCACGATAAGTCATCTGCACTCATCGTCATTCACCCACCCAACATCTCACATACTTTTTCACACTACAAAATACTCTGATTCATAGCCAGAACAATCCTCTCGCACTCGCGGCATGTGAATTCTTCCAGCAGTGGTAGCCGGTAAGCATTTCGGAGGATAGAGTTTCTCTGATGCTAATAATGTATAATAAATCTGTAGTTTAGCCTGCGAGAAATTTTATTTCGAGTTGAACTTAATTTCAATTCCCATCGTTACAACTCCGGTATTCTCACACTGGATTAAACCTTCACCTGCGGCCTGCGTCGTCGCAGGCACCCCTTCTCGTATACTGATTCTGATTTGCATTCTCATTCAGGTGGGTGTAACACACAGAAAAATCTTCCTTCTCTCGCCGCAACAGCCGACTCCTCCAACGCCTAAAGACAGAGAAGACGGACATTTGGAACAACATGTAACACGATTATCGTATGCGTCCGTTGCAACCTACACCGCCGTCGCCTCAAGCTAGAATGGATAGCGGAAGGCTATCAGGCAATAGAAGAACATATACAACCGGAAAGAGACTACCTAGCGTATGGACGTATCAGGGAGTGAAGTGAAATTGAGAGCGAGGCTGATGGTGATGAGGATCGGGTGCAATCACATAACAGGCGAACATTCCAGGGTAATGACAAGAGGGAAAGCAAATGAGACCGATAAAACGAATGCGCCGAACCACCTCATCCTCCACACTATCTCCTCCTTCACAAAAACCTCAAATCCAACGGAGGATCTCGCACAGAACATCCTCAAACGCTTTACTCTGACCAGCCTCATCCCTCCCATCATCATCTCCGTCGCCTGAATTGCAGGGGGGTATCAAAAGTATTGCACGGTCGAAATTTAACTGATTTAATAAAATTATTAATATGGAACTGCACATGTGATTCTTATACCATATTTGCCTATATATTACTTAGATGGATTGTTGTTTATTGTTTTGATTTAATCTTTTACGGATCGTAAAAACGCGATTTAAAAATTTCTATCATTTTTAATTTTTCGCGCAATGGGTCTTGGTAAAGAATTAACTTCTGCACAAAATAAAAAGGAAAGCCAAAAAAATTAGGCCACAATAATACAGAAATTGCAAAAGTTGTAGGATGTCATCGAATGACAATTACAAGATATCTTGCAGCTTACGAATCAGGAGAACCTTCCAAGAAACGATCAGGTCGACCATGCTTGATCG